GCTAGCTTAAACTATCAGAAGGGGATCTAATGCATCAATAAAAGCAGCAATAAAAAGGATATACTTTCATTAAACCTTTAATGATTATACAATCGGCATGCGTCCAAAAGAGTGACAAGTGTAAAAATAATAGCAGATCCTACTCGATTAAAAATAGTACTAACAACCATATAACCAAGGTTATCCACACTAAATCTGACTATGTGAGGCAAATGTCTGCTGATATGGATATGATTCTGAAATCATTGTGCATCCTTGCTTCTTCTGTCAGAGGCTATTCGAAAAGAATCTGTTTCAAACAGCAGGTGAGTTTGTAACTCATTCACAGGAAACCAGCAGAGAGAGCAGTGATGGGGGACACTCCTTTGGCACTAGATCAGGCCAGTGGCATAGCTGTCAAAAGCAGGCCATCACAGCAGTGCAGTCATGACCACATTGCCTTATTTGATCATAACGGATGTAGGAGGTGAACTGCATGAGCCCTGAGCTCTGATTCCCATTAGGCTCCACAGTCAGCAAGCTACAATCGAAAACAATCTCCACAGGCCCATTACAGGGCACACACCTGACGCAAACAGCGCCTGAGTGTTTCGTCACCTCCTCAATGAAAAGTCCAAAGTCCAGAAACCTTGTTTGCACTGTCAACGGTGACCGTCTTAAGGCTTTGAAGTGGGAGGTGCTGGCGGAACTCGCCCTTTTTCTGCTGATCTGCAAACAGCTGAACTTTTTTTCCATCATTGGTGCAAGTTAAGGTTTGGCTGCCTAATTGCTGATCCTAGGTTAGGGCAAAAGAAAAAAGGACTGTCCAAACCCACTTGAATGAACATAACATGGACACATATTTCAGAACTGAAAGTGAAAGTGTCTTTGGATGGCAGGGTCCCTCCTGAAAGTATTACTGAACCACCAAACTACACTCCGAACACACTTAATCTTCAGTAGGTTGGCAACTGCCAGGAACTGCATGCCAACTCCACCAAGCTGCCTGCAAAATTCATTCAAAAAAACAAAGAGCCAAGCTGTTTTTTTTAAACATAAACACAGCTAAATGATAAGTGGTTGTTGTTCATGAAGTGTGTCAAACACTGACTAAATTTCAGTTATGTGGACCATCATAATTTGTGTGTAAACTATTGGTAGATATGCAAAAACTGTTCCTAGAACTGAGGTGCCTACTTGCTTCGTCTACATCCTAATAAATAAAGCTGGAAGTTGGCAACAGCATCAGCACTAAAACCCTAAACCCATCTTGACCCTTTGGAATGCAAGTGTGTCACTCATAAAATAGATACCAATCTAAATGTGAGGATCACACAACATATTTATTAACTGCTACCACAATACTGGCCTTTACATTTGTGATATATTGTGCGCTGTAAGAATTCTGGCGAGGATCACAGTTCCAGATGAGCGCTTATAGGTGTTCGGACGGATCAAGGCATTCATGTCATTCAACAGATGTAAATAATTTTAGTAAAAATAATGCAGGACCATTTTTAACCATGCCATATTAATTTTTTACCAACATTTTTGATGAAGCTTGCAAAGGATAAAGGCCTTTGTTTCCTTTTGACTGATGAGATCTCTGCCACGTGATAGCAGAATCAAGCCTTCATCAGATCTCACCCAAACAGGGAATATTTCATTTCAAAGAAAACATGCAGACTGGGCTATGTTTTGACCAAGTACAGTCAATGGTAAGGTTCGTCAAGCCAGGCTCCTCCACAGCCTGATAAGGCCTTGGGAGCGGGCCGAGGGCAGTGGCAAGATTCTTTGCTCTAGGGAAAGGCGCGGAGTGATGGGCATGGAGGGCAGTGAGGCGGGCAGAAATGAACGCTGTTGGCAGCAAGTCAAGCCCCCACTCTGCTAAAGCATGGGAGAACTGGTCACAGTAATCCCCACTTATATTGGGGCAAAGTAAAAGACAGCGAGGCACAGCTTAAAATGATGCAATTTATACAATTTTGCTTTTAGCCCAAATGTTGTCAATCAGCCAACATAGGTTTGATTATTGCTTCTTTATATTGCTGGAGCTATGAGTCTAATGTATCTAACAAGTAATGAAAGCTAATATCACCATATGGCATACACTTGTCTACAAAAAATAGACAAAAGGTACATTGGACAGCTAAACACAATAGCAGGTGACATTTTGAAGCCTGAATTTTTGCCCAAACATCTGTCCATCTTTTTAGAGGACAGAGTGATGCAATTAAAGTCCCCATCTCATAAAGTCCTAACATTCTACATTCATAGTGGGCCCATGCAAACCATTTTTGTGTGTTAATGCTAACTTTGTTGCTTCTTTTAAAATTGACCTTATAAAGAAATAAAACTACACAACTTTTACAATTTAAAGAAAAAATAAACTTTTGAACCATCACATGAAGTTGCGCAACAGCATTCGCAGAATTTAAACACACCAGATTTTAGGTGACATTTCCAAGTACCTCAAAATCTTCTGTGTGGGACTGTGTGGATGCCAAAATGAACCAGTATATCACACTGCACACTAAGAATGAAAACGCATGATCAATACTTTGTGTTCCCTTCTGACTGACAACGCATGCTATTATGCAATGTTACCAAACTGTCACCGGGGATTGATGCCAGTCAAAGGACAGACCGACGCATGCAGATTGTCCCACATCTGGGATAACATTTCTAGAGACGGAAATATTTGGCAAAAAACAACTGACTAGCAAAACAACTCAACTATCTGCACCAATTACACTGCTGCCTATTCTGGATATACAAACCTAATTTTGACTAATCAGCATCTACTGGGCCATCGTCGTGTAGTGCACAGTTGGATGAATAGCTATTTACTCATCACAATTTAGTCAAGACTTAAAAAGGTTTTGACTGAAAAGATGTTCGCTTATTAAGTGGAAGATGTAGGCCAATGTCTCTTACGTAACCCTCAAACAGGTACAGGTCAGCTAATTCTGGCTGATGATGTAGTGATAATTCTCATACCAGTTCGCTATTCTGCTTGGTGAGGGACAGTACTGGACTAGTGCAGCACAGCTGTGGAGTCTACCTTGGAAGCAAAGACTTGTTTCACAAAGCCTATTAAGGATGTGGATAATCCAGACTAGCAGAGACTTATCCAGGGTTATGCTGACAGTTTTAACTCATTTAGGATTGGCTATTAGTAGGATGGCTGAGCACCAACCAGCTTTCTTTCTCATTACTGCTTGGTTGAGCTGAGGAAGGGAATGGAAAAAGAAATGCTACGGTTAATGAAGGAGAGAAAAAAAAGAAAACAATTACTAAAAATAAGAAATGTACTTATTAGTTAATACTTAATAGAACTTAAAAAACAAGATTAAGTAATGGAAACATAACCTACTACATGAATAGATCCACAAACATTATATGACCATAAAGAGTTTTTCTTAATAACTTAACATTTACACTGCTTACATAACCAGATGCACTTGACAGTCCACAAAAGGGCCATTTCCCTGTATATCTAGTATTAAGCAGTTGGCCACATCTCCCATTTCTGTCTTTTGCCCTCTTCTTTCTCATTCTCCATCTAGGCACTTATTACCAAACATCGATTCCTATTTTAATGTACCAAGCTTTGTGGTTGGGAGCGGAAAGGAGGTCCTGCTAATAGGAAATGAATGCAGAGTGTGTCCGTGTCAGATATCACTAACAAACTCACCAAGTCATAGAACAAATACATCCGGCTCTTGAGACAAACCTCCTAGGCTTGATAAAGCACCCATTTTTCTTTCCTTAAGGATATCCAGAGCAGGGTGTACAGTCCGCTCTTACGCCTACTGCTGTATCACCAGGCTTGGCCATCATTTTAAAATAATGCAGTCTATTAAGACGCAGTATGGAAGTGAGTGATGATGACGACCTCAAATTGTCTAGTGTGCTGGTGTGGACTGCAGCCATAGCCTAAATCTGACAAACATAAACGATACCTGTCACTCATCACTGACAGAATGGTGTGAACACCCATAGGATGTGAATGTTATCAAATATTTGAGGTTTGATTAAATAATTCTGAGGAACTAAATTACTTGTACTGCATCACACAGAGAAAAAGCATGATCATTAAACGAAACCTGAATAAATAACTTGGCAACTAATAGGAGGGTAATATGTGAAAGCGCTAATGTTAATCACGACACAAAAGAAAGCAGTTTTAACTCTGCAAGTTACCAAAACACTAGCTTGGGTGACTCCAGCGCAAATCCACCCTGAAGTGCACGCACAGCCAAAGATCTCTCCACTGATCCTTCGCCTTTGTACAATCCCTGCCTACTGCAGGCAATAAAATGCATTAAAATCACAGCTGTACAACACATAAGGCCTACAGTTTTCCGATACAGAAACGGAGAGAAAAAACGCTAGACGATTAAGATTATTTTTGACAATAACTTGGAGATAATTTAGAAGATCTACAGACGGCATGTTGGCTGGGAATCGTCGTCCGCATTAATGTGCTCAGCTAGCTTGATAGCCTTTGCCCAGCTGCTGAAAAAAAAACAATATGCTTTCAAGACCTAGGCTACGTTAGCATTCCAGCAAGACTGTCAGTTCTTTGTAATACTGGCTACCATTTCTCCGACACCAGCCAAGACATAAACAGCGAATACACTACGATATAAATCTCTATCTAATAAGTTCATTCAGATTTCTGTGTTGTCTCAACTCACGGCCCTCTCTGTTTCGGCCCACAAATGCTAGCTAGCTACCTTGCTAGGGGTTAGCACGATGGCTACTCGCTAAATTAATCTGGACACAGACGTCGAGTTAGCAAACTAGCCGTATAAAACATGACATTAGAGCATAACCATTAGCTGTCTGCATAACCAGGTCACAAGAGCAAGTCTGGCTGTGGAAAATGTCAGCTTTGCTAGGGTTTCATTGATTTGGGCGCAAAGCCTTAAGCGCGTTACAGCAGCAGCTAGCGGTTAAACCTGGGTCAAACCTGTTGGGTGGCTAAAACGTTAACATGTTAACGACGGACCCACCGAGAAGGAGCAGCTTTAATTCCCTCCTCGCGTCTCGCTTGTCTCGGCGAAGTTGCTTGTCGATCTCGGCGTTGATCCGTTTCGACTCCTTCGCCTCTTCGCTCAGGCAGCAAGCCATCATAGAGTCTAAAGTCATCCCCCCTACTTTTGGAGCCCGGCCTCGTCGGGACTGGCCGCGGATCTTCGGAATATGGTCGTGGGAAAACCAACAGAAAATCCTCAATCCCTGTTGAAAATAGTAGGGGCAAAAAGAGGCGAATTGGAGGAAACTGGAAGGGAGATGGGGGAGGAGGAGGGGGGCTGGTGGTGGGGAGCCAGGCGATCAAGTAGTCCCCTCTCACCGGGAAAGGTCTCCGTCCTCGGCCGCTAGGATCTCGGATCACTGTCGCGGAGGAAACGGAGCGGCTGAAGGAGGAGGGGAAGCGGCGTGGAAGCGGAGGCGGCGGCGGCGGTGAAGAAGAAGAAGGAGGAGGAGGAGGAGGAGGAGGTGGTGGTGGTGGTGGAGGAGGAGGAGGAGGAGGCCCTGAGCCTTCACTGGCTGCGCCGTCTGGGAGCCTTGGTTTCTTGCGAATGATAGAAAAATCCAGGGCAGAAAAATTATCCTGCTGTACGTGTGACACTCCCCCAGCGGCTCGACTCGCTCGCCGTCTTCAGTGCTTCACTAGTAGCGCCCGGGAAAGCGGGGCAGCAGGCTGGACAGACAGGCGCGACATCCGTGAGCGCTTCGATTTCGCCAGCCCCCTCTCTCTCTCTTTCTCTCCACCCTGCTAATGGTGAAACGATGACCTGCAAAAGGAAAAAAACAGTGACTGCAGCGCCTGATCAGCGAACAAAGACTCGATCCTTAGTCCACCACATGAATTAGCACAATTAGAAACGAGTCAGGTCCGAATGCACACAGAGGCTTTGGAAGAAATAGATAAAGGACAGCCTATTACAATTATGCTACATTCAGCACATGACAGCTTCTCTCCCTATAGCTGCAGCCCAAATGTACTTAAAGGTCCTAAACATCCACTATGACTCAATCAGTGATTAACGCAGATTTCAGATCAGCTGATCTTCAAATCATTATTTCCCGGTAATACTGACAACATATGACGTACAGATCATAGAGTCAGGACAAAGTCAAATGCACGCCTTTTCTTAAAGTCTTGGATTATACGCTTAAAGTGCACTAGTGTAGGTCATGCAGAGAGATAGTCTGAAGGCAGATTAAAAAAACTGCCACTTTGGCATATGTTTCTCAGAGTGCTCCCAGTAAAGGCACAGTTTAGCTGGACAGAGGTGTTGTCTACAGGTGGATTTCAGGTTTGAGGATGAGGCAGTTCACAACAGTAAGGAATAGTAGGATCACTCTTCTGTAGGCCTCCAAGTCTGAGTGTCATTTTGCCCCAATAAGGCATTGCGGGTCTAAGCTGTTTCCGTCTGTGCAAAACATTTTTAAAAAATTGTGGTAAACAAAGATCTTCCAAAGCCTATACTCACCCCTTCCTTATATAACTAGGTCCTCTGAATTACAAGGTCATTTAAGAGTCAAAATACCAATGATGTTACATACATGGTACAAGCAAGCTGCGCATATGTATAATACTATACTTCAAGACAATTACATAACACCGGTGACTAAAATTGCAGGCTACTTCTACCAAAGTCACTTGACAGATTATTGTGCTTGACAAACCTTGCTGGTTTGCATAGGGTCTTTTGGTGAGGTTGACAGTCAATGCGCAGGAGTGTCAGCTTGTATGTAGCAATGTTCATATTTCAACTCCTTAAAAACCTCGTAATTCAGAAGACCTAGAAACTAGCGATGCACGGATAAGGGGATTTTGGGCTAAAGCTGACATATGATATTTTCCATGTACATACCTGCCAATGCCAATACATAAACATTTTAAAAATGTAGAAACTGGAGCTGGATTCACCTGGATTAGCCTTAAAAAACATCTATTTGTCTAGAATTACAAAGGCAGTAAGATACAGTAGCCCAACTATTCTTAAAAATTCTGCTTTTCTGGAGTACAATAAATACATAATCAAATCTGCCAAAACCGATATGATTCAGACAGTCGGGAATCCCTGCTAGAAACATTCAAAAAATGTACACAGGATAAAATATATTGACTTTGAAACATTTGTATTTATCACAGGGTACTGACAGTTTTCAAAAACATTTATACTTACCAGAGATAAACAACTTAAACCTGAAACTATTATTAACCATTAATTTAATGCTAGTTGCACTGTGTGACATGAAGTTGTACAGCAGTATTTAATCAAGTCTTTCTTTTCTTCACTAATCTGGTCGATAAAGGAGCTCAGTATTCTGATGGCATAACAAGATCATTGTTGCTGTCACAACAAAAAATTGTAACTTTACAGAAGGAGGAAAAAACTTTCTTAACTTATAATTGAAGTTAATGTAAAAAGATTGTTTTGTGCTATTTGTATTGATCGGTTCATTATGAAACTTTAACAATGTAAAGAGGCAGTTGTTTAAAAAGCATTTAAGAAAAAATATGCCCAATTAGTGTCTGATGAAAAAACTTTACTCAAGAGTGCCATTAAATGCAAATGCTGAGGGCATACACAAATGACTGTGTCCAATAACTGCAGACCAAAACTCTGGAAGTGAATGAGCGATCTACATCAACAGCTCCGTTAGAAAATTTCAGAAACTGGGGATATCAGTTTAGAAAAGAATAGCAATTTATCTCTTGAACACTTTTTTGAACGTTTTGAAACACGAGAACTTGCTTCTGTGAATTTGGCTCATGATTTGCACAAGACACAATTCAGGTCAAGGTATTACTAAAAGCATAACTCTGTCCAGTGAGTATACTGGGAGACAACAGGGACCCAGATTCTATAAATGACAGATCTCTGCTGACACCTACTGCCCACAGTTTGTATGGTAGAAAAAAGTAACTGTTGGCCACTAGAGAGCGCAAGTCTCCTACTATAGTTTTTGACATTCGCTAGGAAGCATTTTTCAGTGCCAAGTTTTTCAAAACTTGCAGCACAGCACAACAGTTCATTTTAGATTCTGAATGTTCTACAGCAACCAAAACACTGAGGAACATCTCAAAATAAATGTATGCCCCCAAAACTTACACAGGAATACTTAGTCACTTCAGAAACACTAACAACTGTTAGCATGAATTTAGATTCATTATTGTATGTAAATAGAATTACACTACAATAGAAGGTTTGAACTGTTGTAAAATATTGATTTTGTTCATCTAAACTAAAATTTTGCTTTGCACTGTTTCACAGAAAGCATTTATTAGGTGAATAAAACTGGTTACAATGCTTGTTACAGTGTGAATGTTTTTTGAAAAGTTGAACTTACAGACCATTTTTACAAAGAATGAATACAGTAGAAAAACATTACAAAACAGAATTGTATATCTTTATTGTATAGGAACAAATGAAATTATACTAAACTAAAACTTTCAGTATTTTACATTATCTACCCAAGAAAAAAAAAGTCACAGATACTGTAAATGCTTGCTCTACTGTACCAATAGACGTTTGAACTGACCATAACCTTGTTCACAATTCACAATTTAAATGAAATTGAAAAGCAATTTTTGTAAATTAAGAATGATTCATTTCGATTTAATTACACAGTGATTTGAGTCAGCGATTTAAGTCAGACATTCAATTCAGAAACTCAATTCAACTCAAATTCAATTATAATACTTCTCAGGCAAAAATTGATCTGGTCAAATTCCTTCAGTAAAGGAGTTAATTCCAACAAAGTTAATTCCAAAGCAACATACTCTAGATAGGCTGAATTGTCTGGACACAAGCTTCACTTAGAATATAAATAAAGTGTGTGTACACCGCAGAAATCGAATGATTTATCGAAGTGGTTGTAAGTTAACTGGGGAGGGGGGTAAACCATTACACCACCATACACCACTTAAAAAAGATAGGTCTCCAAGGGTTCTTTTGTAAAGACAACTGACCTCATTCACCAATATCTTCCTAAGTTTTTGCTTAAATTTGTTCTTGAGAAAGGTCCTAAGTAGAGCTGGGCGATATGGCCAAAAACGTTATCACGATAAACAAAATTCACATCGTTCGATATCGATACATATCGCGATAAATGTCAAATTATGATTTCTTTCACGTTTGAAACGTGAACAAATCCCAAATAAGAAAACACTGGTGAATATCAGAATCTTCATGGAAACTGTGCAAGTGGGTTTTAAGAATAAATTTCTTCTGAAGAACAGTTGGTGAATGAGGCTTGATGGTTCTATATAGACCCATGAGCACTTAGGAACCATCTGCACGCTTAAAAGGTTCTTTGCATGGTAAAATCGTTCTTCAGATTGTTGGAGAATGTGTTGTATACGGTTCTATACAGCACCTTTTTGAAAAGGGTTCTTCTATTGTTAAAAGCTTGACACTGTAACAATAGCAGAACCATTTTTGGTGCTTTAGCCAGCAGGTACCCTAACAAAGCTGTGATGAAATTTCGTGTATCGTATAGTTGCTAGGTAGCTAGGTATGGATACATAACATAACATAACATATTAGGTATTTATGTGAACAACGCAGATATATATTGGGAATTTCCCAATATATATCTGTTTCAAAGCTTCAAGACATGAAGCTGCAAGTGCAAGTCTGTTATTATATATTTTTTTTAAATCAAAATCTCCTCTTCCTTATCATCAAAGATTAATTCTTTTTTGAGCACCATTGATTCTTGTACAATAATGATGAATGATGAAATTATGGCTTGATTTTTGGTGTAACAAGAAAACTTAACACTGTCAAACACTGACACAACATTCTTGCAGGATCAGATTAATATATGTAAAACTGTAAATGTTAAAATCTGACGCTGAGCAAAATGTATGCCTAAAGCTCACTACTGAGTATTTTAGTCAACAACTGATAGATGTACCAGATAAAATGAGAACAATGTTTTGGTGGGTTTTTTCAAAATTTTTTTTCCCAATTTAGTTATCTAAGTCCACCCACTAGTTATGACTTCCCTAATCACACAATACCACCAGCACTAGGAGGGCAAAGGCAAACACAAGTTTCTTCCAAGTCATATGTAGCCAGCCACCACATTCAGTAAATGTACAGGAAGATGGAACACCTGCTAGGCATTGCTGCCAGTCGCACCTCCTCCGGTGCCCACGGGTCAGCTGCAGGGTCATCAGCCAGGAACCACCCTTCATTAACGTTTCACTCCTTTAACCCTGGAACGTCTCCTGGTGGCGGAACAGTGACAGGGACGTCTCCCTGTCACCCCCTACAGCTGATAGGTGTTACCCTCCGTGGCTGTTGTCGGGGTTAGTTGTTCTTTCCCCAGCACTTGTCTCTCCTCCTCAGCCAGAGCCAAAAGCTCCCCCCCTCAGCCACCCCCGCTAGCTCTTTGGTTGCCTTCTTTAGGTTCCCTCTAGTCACTCCTGCATCCCTCAAAAGGCGT